GCCCCTCTGAATATTTTTCACATATCTAAAGGCTGACTATGAGTTTTGCCACATCACTTCAGGGCAAAATAAATTTAAAGGTTCAAATGTGCTTCTCTCAAAAAAGAAAAAAAAATCTTAACAATGCAGTCTTTATTGGGAGGCAATTCACTATCCTCCAAGAATTGTTAATTGCATTGCTGCCGTCCTAAGGCTGTCTCTGAGTAAGCCACTTGAGTATTTGTGTAGAGAAAATCTGCCATTTTCTTTATAAAAACAATTTTTATTTTATCACTAACTTCTAAGGAAGAAGTAAGAAAAAATCAGTTTTCTTAAGTTCCAGTACATTTACCTTCCAAAAAAATTTTAAAGAAAAACAAAAAGTAAATCCTAAAAAAAATTAGCACCACTAATCATCTGAAATATTTTAATTTTTATTCTGAGTTTCTTTTCTCTTCACTGTCTGTAGTGTAAAGAGTACCTTTTTTCCTAGGGAAAATACTAAAAGCAGCAGCCAGTTCTTGTTAATGTGAGACGACCTGGCTGCTGCTTTGTACTGAAAGCCAAAAAATAACCCTGCAACCACAATCAATTGTAGCATTGTGCATAGTGCTGAATTAAGCTTTCCTCAGTCCTCAATTCTAATGAGCTATATGAGGAACAGGTGAATACGTCATTATTTTTTAATTATTTGCTTAAGTTAATATATTCATACAAAATTATAGATGCACATGCACTATGGTTTATCTACAAAGATACAATTTTTGCAATTCAGATTCTATGACGTAGTTTATATCAAATGGAATAATCAATTAGGTAGCTCAAAAAAGCAAAGCTTTTTAATTGAAGATTATGGCCACCAGGTGTAGTGGTGTGTGCCTGCAATCTCAGCATGCAGGAAGCTGAAGCAGAAAGATTGTTCCAAGTTCAAGGCCAGCCTGGGCTCCACAGTGAGTTCAAGGCCAGCCTAAATTACACAGCAAAACCCTATCTCAAAAGAAAAGTAAGCTAGTATTTACCAACCAGAAGCTACACTACAAAAGAGCATTTTGAGATAAGATTCTAGTTGGTCCAGTAACCAAGAAAACCATATCCTTTACCCAACCTAACTTAATATGTCATCCATTAATTATTACTGTTACAAATTTATAAAACTGTTATTGTATATTATACACTGGCACAACTAAGCCAAATCAGAAATTTATTACATCAGCTAATAATGGGTTACTATATCACAGTATAAATTATTAGTCAATAATTTCTGAAGTCACCATCTTTGTCATTTCTACCTTTATTCTATCTTATTCAAATGATAAAAAGCACGAAACACCAATAGCTAAAACCTTGGCCCTTTTTATGTGTGCTAGGTATTATTTGATAGGCAATGCACATGGATTATTTCATTTGTTCTTCAAAGTAATTGTATGATGTAGAGAACACTGCAATTCTTATTATACAGAGACACACAGAAGTAACACAGCTCATCCAAGGTCACACTGCTAGTAACTTACAAAGATGGAATAGAATGGATAGATATTCCAAACCTTCATTATAGTCACTGTGCATTCTCTGAAAACTAATGTTCCTACATTTAATACAACTGAGAAAAAGATAAAATTTAGCAGAAATGACATATGTAAGAAAGACATAAATATATAAAGAAATAAATATTGTTAAAAATAAAAGAAAACAAAACAAAGCAAGAAACAAAAAATAGTACATATGAAAAATATGTAAACATGTTTAAATGGGTCATTCTCTTATAAGAAGGGAAAATGTTTAAAACTTTAAACTTCACCATCAGGCAGGGGATATAATTCAGCGTTCAAAGTGGTTACCTGGTATGCATTTTTTGTTTCTTGCTTTGTTTTGTTTTCTTTTATTTTTTTAATTTTTTTTTTTTTTTTTGGCAGAACCAGGGATTGAACTCAGGCCCTTGCGCTTTCCAGAGAAGCACTTATTCCACTGAGCCATCTCCCCAGCCCCTCGTTTTGTCTTCTTGAGACACAGTCTATACCCTAGACTCCAGGCTTGCCTTGCCTAGAACTCACTGTGTAATCCAGGCTGGCTCTGAACGTGTGGAATTCCCCTGCCTCAACCACCTGAGTACTGCATTTATATGTGTTCACCACCATGCCAGGCTCACCTGTACACATTTTTAAAGAATACATAATGCACAAAATCAGAAAGCTTACTCTCATAAAGTTTGATTTAGTAAACTTTTATTCATCACCCACTATGCACTATGAGACAAAGTAGACGTATAAATATAATTAAAACATTTATCCTAAATACTATATGCTCACAAATAAGTGAAATATACATAAGATAATAGCAAGGTGATAAAGAACAATAAAGGAATTATCTGCAGCAAAAGTGTGCTGTGCTGATGGACTAATTTACTCTGCCAAAGAGGAGGGAGGAAAAAACGGTAAGACTTTTGGAGCTGGGGATATGTTCAGGTCACATGTAAATAATGAAGCAGTAAGACAAATGGGGGTGTTAAGTTATCCTGGACCAGAAAAAGAGCACAAAGGCATAAAAGTAGGCAGCACAGCACAGCAAGGTGACAAAGTTCAAGCAGGTGATGTGGCTGCAGCATGAAATGTAAGGCAGGACAAGGACAGATGAGCTGGAGTAAAGGTGAAATCAAAAACCTCCATTAGAGGTACTCAGACTCATGATTATGATAAACTAAAAACACAGGAAGGAACTGGGTTACCAATTCACTCCTGTATTTTTATCCTTAAAAATAAATATTCAGTGAGCTGGACATGGTGGTGCATACCTGCTAAAGCAGGACTGTAAATAAGGCCAGATAACTTAGTGATTTTACGAGACCTTGGCTCAAAACTTCAGCAAAGGGCTGGGCATGTAGTTCAGTGGGAGAGTTGTAGGTTCAATCCTAATACTGCTAAATGAATAAACAAATATTTAATGAGTTATTTCCCTAACTTTCAAAGTGAGCCACCTCTCATCCTCAAGTGAAAAATTGTAACAACTAAGTAATTTGTTCTGACCAAATACTATACTGAATCAGAAATTATATGGCATAATTGAGAAATAAAGCAAAAGAAATTGGTTATTTTTAATTTCTAAGCAGTAAGAAATTAATGAAATGTTATGATAATATTTCATTTTATTGGGAACAATCTGCAATTTTTTTTTTTTTTTTTTTTGTACCAGGGATCGAGTTCAGGACCATATGCTTGCCAGGCAGGGCACTTATGCCACTAAGCTATCTCCCTGGCAATCTGTAATCATTATAGTTTAGTTCTTGCTCAAACATGATAGTTTAATTCAAAATACACAACTGTAAGGAGTAAGAAATCTTTTTATTTATTTAATTTTTTGAGACAGGGTCTCACTATATAACCCAGGCTGGCCTTGAACTCATGGCAGTTCTCCTTCCTTGGCCTCCTGAGTGCTGGGATTATAAGGAGTAGGAAATCTTACTTAAATTTTATTTCAAACTCTATTTCCCATTTAAAGGTTACTGAGAGTCAGATATGAAGCTTTTATACAACATTATTATCATTTATAATGTTATACATTTTCAAACCCCTTAATATTCACTATTTTTTAACAAGTTTATTGTAGACGTATTATTCATTTAATGTAATAAAAGTAACAGACAAATTCATGCACAGCAAGAATGAGGGCAACAGAGAGAAATCAACTATGATCAAGCTATGGAAAGTAAGTGGCATAATATCTATCGCATGATTACTCTGTAAGATATCTGCAAGACACTACATGACACCCAGCACTGAGGTAGTCTACAAAAAGGAACACCAAAGTTGTCCTATACAGGATTCAGTGCGGCTCTGCTGTGAAGACTAGTCCAAAAGCAGATTTGTAAAAACCATACCCTTTAAGTAGCACTGGTAATAAACAGAGTTAAATAAAACTGTACGAGGCCACTAATTTCAATTAAGCTCTTTTACTGGACCTAAAAGACCAAGCAATATGCAGTTCAATCACAGTACTAAGCTTGTGAGAATCGCACGAGGCCTTGTAACCCATCAACTAAGCTATATCCAACTGCCCGGTTAATGAATTATATCCAATTAAGTTTTTGCCTATCCCTTACTTGTATTTTTCTATAAATGCTAACTGACGTGTTGGTATACTATTGAGTAGAGTTCTCAGAATCAGCTCTGCTTCAGAGAGACACCTGATCTGCCAGTCATTTATGTTTTGATTTTTCTTTCTTGATATTCTACTTGATGCAACTGGCCCAAGGAATTTTCCTTTTTTTTTGTTTTGTTTTGTTTTGTTTCTAGAATTTTCCTATTTGTAACAGTGAGGGTGATTCTATGGTGAACTTTGTTGTTACCATTGTTTGTGACAGGCTCTAATTATGCAGTTCAGTGCTGATCTTGAGCTCGGGATGCTGCCTGACCTTGATGACCTTATGATGAACCTCTTGCCTCAGCTCCTGAGCTCTGGAATTATAGGCATGCGTCACCATGCCTGGCTCGATGAACTTTATTTTACTATTTGAAATGACAGCTTAACCCACTTCAGAAAGACAAAATTTGATACAGAGACAAAATAAATGTATCACAAAAGAGAAAGCTTATCATCAGCATAGATTCAGTTATGGATTAGATGTTATACTGGGACTCGATGAGTTAAGGCATTAAAATAAAATTGAGAGTTGAAGCTTCCATTTCTAGATTAGACTAACTAAATTTCCACCAAGATACCCAACAAATACATGCAAATTGTTAGAACCAGTACTGGCAATTTATATATGCTACTCCCAACTTGTTCATTTTCAATCTTAGGAAAAATCAAAACTGATGGTATCTTCTTTGTACTGGCTAAAAAGCTTCCAAGTAAGTGTGCAGCAAACACAGTAAATGTGTAAGACTTAAAGAAACTTGCTCCTATCTTTTTGCCTTCACCACCTTGTTCTCATTTTCTTTTTTCATATGAATAATTTTGCATAGTATCTTAAATCTTTTTGGAAACAAGAACATTAAAGTTAAGCAATTTTAAAAAGACAATAGTACCTTTATATCAAAATTACAATCAAGTCTTCTAATTAACACGATGAAAGTGGCAGATGAGTTGTCTTTTACTGGTGGAGGCATTATGGGTTCACAAGCATTCTCTGGTTTTGAATTAATCAAAAAACCCTGAAAAAGAATTGGTAATAAAGTTACTGCTTTGTTTCATTTAATGAGTCAACTTACCTCTGCATATGTCTTTATCTCATGTTTCACATTATGCTAGATACATTATGTGGACCCTAACTGTTCACAGTTTCAGAGCTTCTAAAGTAGTTTTCCATTTCTTCAGTTCTTTAAAGTAAGTTCTATTTTAATATTGATGTTTTTTGTTTTAATCATACATAGGACAATCAATGAAAAATGACAACCACTATTGACAGTGATGTGTTTCTCCACATGACTGACATTCCCAAGCCAAGAAAATCCTTTTCTCCACAGGGAATAGGGAACTTGGACAGGGGCTGAACACAGGGCCTTTGCACTGAGCTAGGGCCCAAATCCTTTTCTATATTTTATATCAAGACAGGGTCTCACTAAGTCGTTAAATTTCCTGGGCTGGGCTCAAATTTGACATCCTCCTGTGTTATCCTCTCAGACTTGTGGAATCATAGGCATATACCATCATACCTGGCTGCAAATCTTTTTATAAATTATTTTTAAATATTACTTCACATTATCAAAGGAAAATGTACATTATATGTAAATTATTAAGAACTTACTCTATAGAAACACTACTATGAGTAGGTAAAACCACATGTAAAAATGTTTGCTTATACTTGTTTACCACAGCAAAAAACAGAAGTCATGCACATTAATAATTAGCTATTTGAAATTATATTCATACAATAGAACAATATAACTATTTAAAATGAAATTTATGATTATATACTAATTGAAACAATATCTCTAAGATAATTAAAGGAAAATAGCAAGCTGCTTTCCCAGAAATACAGTATTCTTTGACATCACAGAATGTATTAATGTAGAATTTTGTTAATAAATTAAAACAGAAAAGCCAAGTGGTTATCTCAACACGTTCAAAAAAGCTGAACCAAAATATAAAAGGGATAGTCATGTTCAATAAACTCATTCGTAAGAAAAAATAAGGAATAATAGGTATGACATAATACTTTAATAATAGTTCCCCCATGGCATTTAAATTTGTCACAACAACCAATTAACAGGATTTGGAAATTTCTCCTGCCCTCAATTGTACTGTCTGGTTTGTAATAAAGCAAGCTTTTGTGCACATTTCTGAAATAAAATACATCAGTATTTCATTTATTCAGAGAATAGGTTCTCTTCTTGATTATATAAATTTTTTGATTTTGCTTTACAGAGACACAGAACTACAGTAATCCTTCCAACAACGAGTATTTTAATCTTGCTAAATTTATACCTTTTTTCATTTTTGCGTTCTCTTGTTTTAATGCAAAAATCAAAGAGTGCACTAAATCGTTTTGAATATGCAATTAAACTCAACCCCTAAATCATATCAAGAAGGCAGATACAGTAATTAAAGACAATATGGCGCCAGGCATGCCATCACATGTCTGCTGTAATCCCCAGGGCTGAGGCAGGAGGATCACTTGAGTCCAGGTATTCAAGGCCAACCTGGACAACACCTGGAGCATACTCCCTCCAAAATGAAAGCAGTTACTAAATGAACAATGGCAAATTTCCCATCAGAGTAATGGCACCTCCATCAAGAATGCTACCTTGCTAAAGCAAAGTTAAAAATAAACTCCCAGTTGGGCATGGTGCAATTTATCTGTAATCTCATCAATTGAGAAGCTCAGGCAGGAGCATCACTGTAAGTTTAAGTTCAGCCTGAACTACACAGTGAGACCCTACCTCAAGTAAACAAAGACAGCTCAGTAGAGCAGGCCAGCAGGGCCAGCACAACAGAACTGGGGTTTTTTTGTTTTGTTTTTTTTGGCAGAACCAAGGACTGAACTCAGGCCCTTGAGCTTGCCAGGGAAGCACTTATTCTACTAAGCCATCTCCCCAGCCCCCAGAACTCTGTTTTCTGAGGTGCTCTGAAGAGCCAGCAGTTGGTGAATGAGGTAAATTGGTCCTGTGCTTTGGCAAACAGACACATGGAACAAAAGTGGGTGTGAGGGGCCAACATTTTACTTCAATGGAATTTGAGTGAACCCCAGCAGCAGAACAGACCCAGGTCATATCAATGCCAAAGCTCTGGAATAGAATAAGGAAAGAGCCATCCAGTTACACTGGACTGCCAACAGCTGGAAGCATTAGAGGATTAGGGAAAAATCTGAGAGGCAGGACCTGGTTCTGCTCTAATGGCCATCTTGGCCCATGAACACAAGCAGACAAGCAGCCAAGCAGTCTCGGCCTGCAGCAGGACAAGGGTACTCCTCCACCTGAGACTCCCAGGAAATGCTAGAGGTATGAAATCGAGGAGGCTGTGCAAGGTCCAGAAGGAGCAACTGGGTTGTTCCATGGGTCAGGGATCAACCCCAGGCTCTCTCCACTGAGGAACATCACAGCAACTGGGTACACACCATAAAGTCAACCACAGGAGAGATGGGCACAAAAAACATTGTCAGCTGAAGGGCAGTCCCAGCTTCCACATTCAGAGACGAGGATCACTCAGAACAAATGCTACTGCGAACCTGGTGGAATTACACAGCACACTTCTGGGAATTGACTTGGACACTACCACAAAACTGTGGACACCATGGGAATTCTACTTTTTTCTTTCTCTTTGGTTGTTTGAATGGTTTTACTTTTTCAGTCTGGTTGGTATGAGTGTTTTTAAATGTATTTTTGTTCGTTTTATTCTTTATTTAGGTTTCTTCCCTTGATTTTTGTTTTCTATTCAACTTCTTTTTCTATTTCCTCAACTATCTCTCTTGATTTTATGATACTTTCATGTGAGTGAACAGTCTCTTTCTGATTCACTTCAATATTCTTTTGCTTTCTCTTTCATTTTTTCTCTCCTGCCCTCTCCCCCAGTTCCCCAAAACACTACTGATTATCCTTTCCCTTACACCCTTGCTTCTATTATATTTCTCTTCATTCACTTTTCTCTGTTCTGTCCCATATCCTTCTTAAATACCCCTTAAACAGTATAACATTATTCTCCCAAGGAGCAACTCATGGCATACCAATCCCTGGTATATGTCAAATGTTCTTATATAACTGTAGAACTTCTTCCTATGACTTAAGAAACCAAATTAATAGTTACACATTTTATCAGTTGCTAGGCTGCGCTTGATGTTACTGTTGCTAACTGTACTGATAGCCAGGATGTCATACATGTTGAAATGTTTTTCTTTTCTTTTTTTTTTTTAATTTTAGGGAAGGGTCTACAGGGTGTTCAGGGTCTTACTACTAGATTGGACTCCTAGTGATCCACCTGTTTACAGCCTCCCAAGGGCTAGGATTACAGGCATGTACCACCACGCCCAGTGATCGAACCCCTGGCCCCTACACCTGCTTGCAGGCACTTTAATCCACTGAATTATTTGGCCAGCCCTTGAAATCAGTTTTTCTCCCTTGTATGACAATACTGATTGTCTGGGCTCATAACCATCATCATAGTTGGGTACCAAAGAACTGGGTGTTCAGCCAAACAAATAGCAACATCTCACCCTTAACAAATTGGGAAGGTAATATCTTGGGACAGACACCAAAACCAAAAACCACCTATTCCTAGCAGTCACCTCTGAAGAACAGACATTTCCTATAGAGGCCACAATACTGGTGATAAAAGCTACCTACCATGAGAAATTTATAGGCATCAGCATAGAAAACTAAATAAAAAATTTTTAAAAATAGAAAAGAACAAGATACAGAAACAAAAAGTGTAAGGGGCCGGGGAAATGGCTCGGTAGAATAAGTGCTTGCCTGGCAAATACAAGGGACTGAGTTCAAAACCCCGGTTCCACCAAAAAAAAAAAAAAAGAAACAAAAAGTGCAACACCAGAGTTCCAGCCCACCCAGGACAGGTCCAAGGGACAATGAAAGCAGTTCAAAAACAGGTGTGTGAGACTACAGAGTAAGTCAGATCAGAAATAATCTCTGAGGTTAAAAAGAGAGAGCTTAAGGGGCCGGGGAGATGGCTCAGTGGAATAAGTGCTTCCCTGGCAAGCACAAAAGCCTGAGTTCAACTCCTGGTTCCACCAAAAAAAAAAAAAAAAAAAAAAAAAGAAGAAGAAGAAGAAAAAAAGAAAAAGACAGAGCTTATGACCATAATGAAGGGTTTACTCTGCAAATATAGAGTAGACATAGATTAAGAAAATAAAAAAACATAGGAGCATAGGAAAATGATCCATGCAACAGATTCAAACAGATACTGAGGAAATTAAACATTGAAAGTTTGCAAAACTGCATAAACAAAACTGAGGACAGAATTTCAGCCCTAGAAGATAAGATCTTAGCTAATGATCATGAAAAGAAAGATCTCTTAAAAATAAAAAAAGACCATGAACAATCAATCCAATGGCAGTAAGATGATGCAAAGAAAAACATTAAGATCTGTTGGAGTAAATGAAAAAGCAGGAGTCAGCACGAAGAACATAAAATAAGAAGAAGGAGGAAAATAAACAAACTGTTCAAGTAATGGCAAAAAGAGTTTCCAAGCATGGAAAAAGAATCTGACATACAAATAGGTGAGGCATATGGACAAATTAGCCATAAGCAACATAAAGCTATACCAAGGCGCTGATTACTATATAAGTAATCAAGATTCCAGAAATTCCACACAAGAACAGAATATTAAAAGCTTTTGGTGAAAAAAAAAAATCACCTATAAAGGAAAACCCATCAGAATCACAGCAGACTTCTCAATACAACCCTCACATTAAGGAGAACTGGGACTTAAATACTCTAAGACCTGAAAGAAAATAGCCTCCAATCCAGACTATTTCAGAATTAATGAAGAAATAAGGTTATTCCATGACAAAGAACTTTAGAAATTCAGGATCATCAAACCAACTTTACAATGTAATCTGACAGATATTCTAAGAAGAGGTAACAATGTGCATGATTCCAAGAACACCAATAGAAAAAAGCCACCAGCTAGGGCAAGCAATGAATAATATAACTAAGAACTCATAAGTGAAAAGAAGTCTAGATCTGATGGATTCACTGCTGAA